AAATCAATCTGCAAAATAAGTCAATACACACATGTAATTAATTAAGTGAAGAACACGGTTTAATTTCATTAGCTATTCATAATAAAGTTAATCATCAGTGGGCATTACTATTGGAAACAAAAATTTGAGTTGAGTGGCAATAGTACAAAAGAATTCTCCCTTTCACCAATAGGGTTTGAAATGATATTTGTGTTTTGAGTATACACCTGACCACATCCCATGTCATTAATTGGAATCCAATACCCTTCAGTGGTACTCGGGTACAATTCAAAGCCAAAGAGATGGAGTGTTCACTTCTTTTTCCCATTGATATAGTAAAATGTCAAATTGGAAGGTCCTGAGATTCCTTTCTCAAAGGCGTCACTTATGTATTGATTTTTAATCTTTCGGCGGATTTGAAAATGAGTATAATAGGCAACTTTAAATTAATTGTCTCTAGTTTAATGGAGATAAAGTAGCCTATTTTAAAATTGGGGTGTGAGATAGACTTACCTCCACGGGGTGCACCCTGGGCAACGTATACTCCTACGGCAAAAAAGTCTATTGACTGGCAGTTGACTTCTCACTTCAAACTACCATCACCCCACTCTATGCCATAGTCGACTATTTCCCCAGTACTCACCTCACCGTTGTTCTACCTTTGTGTTTGTCTCTTACATCTTTGAAACACTCTTCTGTTCCCAACCTCTCGACTTTTTTTAATTTGATGTTCCTTCCCCTCTGTGAAGTTTGAAGTCAACTAAAGGGCTAATGATAACCATCAGGATGCCTGCCATTTGATATAAATTTTAAAATTGAGGCGAATTAAAGTTAATATTTGACGTTTAAAGCCCACCTCACTGCGACTGAGTACTAGCAAAATGAGAGATTCGTCATCAGTTCCAGCTCCGCGCATTGACGTGTAGAGCCATTCAGCAAGAAGAGCGGTTTTGTCCTCAGCGAATTTAACTGCAGTTAATGTGTACATTAATGTAAAGAATGCTCCTTCGAAACAATACACGTAGAGACTAAAAATTACCACAATGTGGCTTTAAAAGGAACGGCAAAATAATTAACCAAATTTAGCGAATAGAGAGAAAATGAACATTGCAAATTGAGGCGCCAAATGACCAATCGCAGATCAGGTCAAAACCTCCTATCCCCCAGGGGTCTTTAATAAACGAATTATCTTCTTGCGTGGGTCTCACAGCAGCAGACTGATGCCCCCGACGTGATGAGTTTTGCTGGTACACGTATTGGACATGTTTCAAACGCCAATAGTGCTTTCTTGTTACGAATCTAGTACCGATGGAGATTATTTTGAAAGAGGAAGTACTGTCCTAAGAGTGTAAAAGGGTTAAACGGTAGCGCATCGGTTGAACGAATACCAATACTTCCACGAAAATGTAGATAACTTGAAGTATTCTAATTTCTCTCCTAATGAAAACCGATAACTTATTGAATTCGAGGTATCCCACGTTTATGGCCACAGGGTGTGCGATAGACTTACCTCCACGTAGTGTACTCTGGACAACGTATACTCATACCCCAAAAAAGTCCATTAACTGGCAGTTGACTTCTCACTTCAAACTACCATCACCCCACTGTATGTTATATTCAACCACTTTCACAGTACTCATCTTACCTTTTCTATGCCTTTGTGTCTGTCTCTTTTACATCTCTGAATCTCTCTTCTGTTCCCCCCTCTTCAATTTTTCTCACTTTGATGTTCTTCCTCCCCTCTGGAAGCCTGAAGTCAACTAAATGGCTAATGCTAACAATCAAAGCGCCTGCCATTTGATATAAATAAAATGTTTATGGCCCTAAGCAGTGATTCTTCAAATACTACTTTTATACTTGTCAATTAAGAACTGAAGGCCTATCTAGACAAGTAACCATTCATATTTCCGTTAACCCACAAGGGAATATTGACTCAACTACATCGAACTAGGCAATATGAGATTTTGATAAAATCGGAACAAGTAAGGTAAGTTTGCATTCTTTGCGTAAAACTGGACATTCAACGGGACGTCAAATACCATCTTACCGATTGCGACTAGCGCGTCTTCATAATCGCTGGAGGTTTCCTTTTTGATGGCCTTTACGAGTGGGGTCTTGAATTGCTGCAAGAGAGATTAATATGGAGTCATAAATCGGGATGATATCGAAATCCTCTCCAAAACTACAAGGAATGCTGCTTACTTGCTCGTAGACTTGAGAGAGAGCTTTAATATGCGCGAAGCTTCTTTGAGCAAAAATTTGAGTGAAAACAGCCTCCTCAGTACCAACTTTGCTAAAGTGTAGAAGACCATCTTGAATGACTTATCTCGAAAGTGGGTAAGGAATATAGCCAAAGTGACATACCCCTCACCGGCCTTATAGAGTCTTTGAGCATCAGCATTGACCATATTTAAATCGACATTTGTGCTTTCATCTCGAGTGCCCTGTATCATGGCAATCAGAATCTTCTGGAAATCGCCACTAGTATCATTGCGTATGTCGGCTTCTAGCTTGTGGCCAGTAGCTTCAAAAGAAATAATAATAATATTACAATTTTAGGGAATGATGGCTTCGTAGATTAATGAGGACAAATCTTTCTTCTTACTTCTGTCGTAAACTTGGGCAGTTTCTTTAATTATGGCGTTTTGGAATGGTATGATGCACTGAAGGAGGATTGTTTCGTTTGTTCCAGCACCTTTGATTGCAGCGCTCATTGAGCTGGCCAATAAACCAGGAAGCCCTTTGAGGCTCAAGAGAACCACACGTTCGAACTTCCCGGAAATTTCACTCATTAAACTTTTATCAAGATCCTAAAAGTTACATTAAATGATATTTTTAAATCAACGCCTGATTTATTCTCAAAAAAAGTACGAAAAGAAATGGGTGCCTTCAATTAGGTAATAGTGTGACTTCAGACTCCATGAGATTTTTAATTGTGAATTCATTTGCTTTTGTTGGTTTTAATTTAGGCGGATAAATGTAAATACTCTATTACAACAAATTCTACTATTTCCTACCAATTTGGCGTTTTGCTGAAAATTATGGATTGGCAGTTCCTGTTGATTCTGTCAGTAATTTAATGGAAGCTATGAACACTTAATAATCGATAAATCGATACTTCCAGATATTTATAGTTCTTGGAAAAGAGTAAATACTAAATTAACGCAAGAAAAATTGGGCTAGCTAGACTTAAATCAATAGTTGTCATGGTAATGAGCCTTTAAAAAACAAATCTAACCTTGCCGAATGAAGACTTGAAGCTTTGAGCGATTTCTTTTCGTTGTTCGAAGGTACGTTTTGAGAGAATTTTAATAATGGCGGATTCGTTGGTGCCTAAAGTTTAACAAATTCATCGTGAAGGCCACTCATTTTAGTGATATGAAATATTCAAATGTAAACTAATGTCATACCAAGTCCCTTCATTGCCTTATAAAGGGCTTGAGAGTCGTCGCTTGCATTAAAGTCTGTAGACGGCTGAACAGTGGGACGTCCCAGATAGTAGGGGTTCACTAAAAAAAGAGTAAATGCAATATTTCGATTGAAATGGGATTGGAGAAATAATAAGATTTCTAATTTCAGCCTACTTAGGGCTATCTGTGTACTAGGTTGACCGTGGTGAGGGTAACCCCCCATTGATCCTGGAGGAATACAGCCCATCGGGCCTCTTGGTGGATAACCCATTTGTCCAGGAGGAACAGGGCCAACATGTCCAGGTTGGCCCATAGGACCTTGAGGAGCGTAGCCTCCCATTTGGCCTTGAGGTGGATAGCCACCCATTTGTCCTTGAGGAGGATAACCTCCCATCTGTCCTT